CACTCCAACAGCTCATTAAGTCCCAAAAACCATTTGTCTCCATTTACTCCTATCTAACATGCTCACATATGCTTGCTGGAAGTCCAAGCCCCTTGCCCACAAAACCTTTATCCCCTCCCTCCAACCTTTTCGAGGGCAACCCTTACCCCTCCTTCCTTCCCCAACAGATTTATATACTCTCCAAGTCATTCTACTTTGATCCAGTCTCTCTAAATGACCAACCCATCTTCAGCCCTCTGACTAATACTTTTAGTAACTCCACACCTCCTCCTAATTTCCACACTCTGAATTCTCTGCATAATATTTACACCACACATTGCCCTTAGACAGGACATCTCCACTGCCTCCAGCCACCTTCTCGCTGCAGCATTTACCACCCAAGCTTCACACCCATACAAGAGTGTTGGTACCACTATACTTTCATACATTCCCTTCTTTGCCTTCATAGATAACAGAGGGGTTATGGAGGTGGTTTGGTCATTTAGAGTGGATGGAACAAAGTAGAATGACTTGAAGAGCGTATAAATCTGTAGTGGAAAGAAGGCAGAGTAGGGGTTGTTCTAGGAAAGATTGGAGGGAGAGGGTAAAGGTGGTTTTGTGGGTGAGGGGCTTGAACTTTTATTTTTGGGTCACCCTACCTTGTGGGAAATGGCTGGCATGTTAAAAAAAAAAAACTGTATAAAGTTGGCATGTTTGAATGTGCATGGATGTAGTACAGACCATAAGAAAGAGATGATTTGTCCTGGCTCTAAGTGAAACAAAGCTGAAGGGGGTAGAGGATTTTCAATGGGAAGAAATAAATAGGGTTAGATCAGGAGTATCTGAGAGAGTTAGAGCTAAGGAAGGGGCAGCAGTAATGTTGAAGGACCAGGTATGGAAGGAGAAGAGGGCATGTAAATGTATAAATTCAAGGATTATGTGGATTAAAATTAGGCTTTGATGCAAAAAGTGGGTTATAATAAGTGTTTATACATCTGGAAAGGAGTGTTGACAAGAGAAAGAGAGAAAGATTTTGGGAGATGTTAACCGAGTGTTTGGGAAGTTTTGAACCAAGTGTGAGAGTAGTTGTGGTGGGGGACATAAATGCTGAAGTGGGTGAAATGGTTATAGAGGGTGTGGTAGGTAAGTTTGGGGTGCCAGGTGTAAATGATAATGTGGGCCTTTAATTGAACTTTGTATATAAAGGGGTTTGGCAACAGGTAATACACATTTTAAGAAAAAGAAGGATAAGTATACAAGACATGATACAGGGCATAATGACAGTAGTTTGTTAGATTATGTATTTGTAGATGACTGATGGTAAACTTAAGGATGTGCATGTTTATAAAGGGGCCTCAGATATATCAGATCATTTTTTAGTTGTAGCTGCAGTGAGAATAAAAGGTAGATGGGATACAAGGAGAATGGTATCAGCAAGTAAGAGATAGTTGAAGGTTTATCAACTAAAAGAGGTGGTAGTTAGGGTAAGATATAAACAACTATTGGAAGAAAGATGGGCTAGTGAGAGTATAGGCAATGAGGTTGAAGAGGTATGGGGAAAATTTAAGAATGTAGTGTTAGAGTGTTCAGCAGAAGTTTGTGTTTCAGGAAAGGGGTATGGGGGGTAAGAGTGATTGGTGGAATGACGCGGTAAAGAAAGTAGTAAGAGAGAAAAAGTTAGCATATGAAAGTTTTTACAGAGTAGAAGTAATATAAGGAGGGAGGAGGAGTATATGGAGAGAAAAAGAGAGGTTAGGAGAGTAGTGAAGGAATGTAAAAGGAGATCAAATGAGAGAGTGGATGAGATACTATCAATAAATTTTGCTGAGAATAAGAAAAAGTTTTGGAGTGAGACTAGTAAGTCAAGAAAGTCTAGAGAATGAATGGATTTGACAACTAAAAATAGGAGAGTTAAATAATGGAGAGTTGGAAGTATCCGGAAGATGGAAGGAATATTTTGAAGAACTGTTAAATGTTGATGAAAATAGGGAAGCTGTGATTTTGTACATTGGGCAGGGAGGTATAACATTTTATAGGAGTGAGGAAGAGCCCGTTGAGTGTAAGTGAGGTGTGTGAAGCAGTGGGTAGAATGAAAGGGGGTAAAGCAACTGGGATTGATGGGATAAAGACAGAAATTTTGAAAGCAGGTGGAGATAAAGTTTTGGAATGGTTGGTGATATTTAATAAATGTATGGAAGAGGGGAAGGTACCTAGGGACTGGCAGAGAGCATACCTGAAGAGGGTTTCTGGGATCAACGCCCCCACGGTCCGGTCTGTGACCAGCCCTCGTGGTGGAGCAGGGTCTGATCACCCAGGCTGTTACTGCTGGCTGCATGTAAACCGGTGGATGAACCACAGCCCAGCTGATCAGATACTGACTTTAGGTGCCTGTCTAGTGCCTTCTTGAAGACATGCATAGTTCCTTTGTATAAAGGCAAAGAGGACAAAAGAGAGAAACTAAAAATTATAGGGAATAAGCCTTTCTTGGTAATGTGTATGGTAGAATTATTATTGAAAGAATTAAAAATAAGATGGACAGCAGGGTCACAGATAAACAAGGAGACTTTAGAGAGGGTAGAGGATGTGTAAACCAAGTGTTTACAGTGAAGCATATAGGTGAACAGTGTTTAGGTAAGGGTAAAGAGGTTTTCGTTGCATTTATGGATTTGGAAAAAACTTATGGTAGGGTGGATTGGAGAGTAATATGGCAGATGTTGCAGATGTATGGAATAGGAGGTAGTTGAGTTTCTTTTTTTGAGGATAGTGAGGTTCAGGTTAAAGTATGTAGGAGAGATGGACGCTATTTCCCAGTAAAAGTAGGCCTTTGACAGGGATGCGTGATGTCACCATGGTTATTCAATATATTTATAGATGGGGTTGTGAGAGAAAATGTGGCGGGTGTTGGCAAGAAGTGTGGGATTCAAAAAGGCAAAGAATCTAACACAAAGTGGAAGTTGTAACAGTTACTTTTTGCTGATGACACTGTGTTTTGGGGAGAATCTAAAGAGAAGTTGCAGAGGTTGGTGGATGAGTTTGCTAGGGTATGTAAAAGCAGGAAATTAAAAGTGAACATAGGAAAGAGCAAGGTGATGAGGATAACAATAAACATAGGTAATCGAAGATTAGGTATCAGATTGGAGGGAGTGAGTATGGAGGAAGTGAATGTATTCAGATATTTGAAAGTGGACTTGTCAACAGATAGGTCTATGAAAGACCAGGGTGTAAAGGAAGTTTTGTGTGCGAGGGACTTTGACTTCCAGCATGAATGTGTGATAGTAGCAAGTGGAGGCAAATGATTTTTATGATGTGCTGTTGGAGTGTGAGCAAACACTACCTGTTTATAAATTCAAGTCTCTTCTCAAAGATCACTTACTCACCCAAAACCAAATAAATACTGAGTAACTGAACTTTATAAATTGTATATCTTAAATGTTTCTCATAATTATATCACATAAATGTTAAACCTAAGACCCAATCTAACTTTATTTTTTTAAATACACTACCTAACAGAATACTCCATTCTACTGAATGTACAGCAATGCATGCAACCATATGACCTGTCTTTGTAATACTCATTTGTGCTTTATTGTTATCTGTTTACAATAATGTTTTATCACTGATTACATCATTGCTTAATTAATCTTAAGTTAATTTTAAGCCTGCTCGTAATGCTATGCATACAAGTGGCTTTGGCATGCTGCTCTTACCTGTATTTTTTTGTACCTCTGTATGTATGTTCAAATTATTAAATAAATAAATAAATATGAAGGGATTCAGTGAAACCAGTTAACCAGACTTGAGTCCTGGAGGTGGGAAGTATGTTAACTGCACTCTGAAGGAGGGGTAGAGATATGCTGCAGATTTTGAACTGTAGTGTAGACGTGCCTCTGGCAAGACTACGATGGGGTGAGTAATAATGAAAGTGTTTATTCTTCTTTTTCGGGTCACCCTGCCTTGGTGGGAAACAACCTATGTGTTAATAAAAAGGTTTGCTTCATTATTATTAGGTAATTAAGCAGGCATCAATCTTTTTCTGCTCATTCCACACATTTTGTAACTTTTTGATCTTATTTAGCTGTATTGACCTTTTTCTCTTTTCACCATATCACAATCAGGATTACTCATAGCACATGCTCTTATCCTCACCTAATTCTTTCTAATAGTACAAATTGTTGCTTTGTTTACACCAAAGGCACAGGCTGTCTCCATCACTTGTTTCTCAACTGTGAGCTTATCTAACACTTATCTTCATAACACTCATTCACTTAAACTTCTTACTATTAGTCCTCTGGGGTCTACCTGGAGGATGTTCCAGGATCAGTGCCCCCACGGCCCAGTCCATGACCAGTTGTTGTGGTGAATTTCCTGAGATAAGATGGGGCATTGAAAAAAAAAATCACTTTATTCATGAATGACTTGGTAGGTATGGCTTACATTCATGAGGCAATGGGAGAGTGAAAGGCTACAGTACAAGATGACAACAGACCTTTCCTTGAAACAATGGAGTCACCCATAGGCCAAGTGAGACACAAAGGGAAGGGGAAACTTAAGTGTCCCATTCAGGATTCTTGTAGAAATTGGCATGTAACATTGGCAGAGGTTTATTTCTATCCAATTTACAGTATGCTTTGGTGTGCAGTTCCACTTTTTCTATACAGTATGATAATGGAAAAAGAAAATTCATTAGTGCTTTATTGATAATATGCAACACAAAGGCATGTTCTGTAAGAGTACTTTTTTGTTCCTTTATTGTCGGTATTTAGAAATGTGCAAGAGACATTGCTTATTGAAGTTCATGTTAATATTATACATGTGCTAATACTAACTTTTTGGAAATTCTGTATTTAAATTGCCCAATTATTTTGACCAAATAAGAATTTGGTCTGGCAAAACCTTTCCATAATACAGATTCCCAGATGTTGCACAAGTGTCTCATTCTTTAACTTGTTGGATTTTCTAAACCATTTACATCACATAGAGAGATGTTTAGAAATGAATAATTAATAATTTTTTTCATTTAGATAGTTGAGGTAAACATCTACATCCCAGTGAAGTTACACAAGTCATTGATTGGTCCAAGAGGAAAATTGCTTCGGCATGTGAGTGAAGAGTGTGGAGGTGTAGACATAACGTTTCCACCACCAGACATAACCTCAGACAAGGTAACTTTTATCATAAAATTACTGTACAAATATAGCATTATTATGGTAAAACATAATTTTTTTTTTCAACTAACCGGCTGTATCCCACCGAGGCAGTGACCTAAAAAGAAAAATGCTCTTTTTAAATTTAGTAATTTACACAGGAGATAGGGTTCCTAGCACCTTGCTCTCGACATTTTAGTCACCTCTTATGACATGCATGGTTTATAAAAGAAGAATTCTTTTCCACTTCCCATGGACATTAGTATTGTTTCAGTGCTGCATTTTGTATTTAATATTCGATTATAAATGTGTAAAATTTCATTTTCATGAAAGTATTGTTTCTTCTTTTAACAAACCTAGGAAAGTATAGTTTATCTTTATATATTTTAGGTGTCCCTAAATGGGTAAGTAAGTGGTTGCTGGAATTTTTTTTACATCTAAACTTTTGTTAATAATGTGTCTGTAATTAATTAAGAATGCCTCATCCGAATGACTTCAAATTTTCAACATTGATGTACCGTAACTAGGACAAGGTTCATGCAACTATTGGCATTTGCAGGTGCCATATGATCAATGTTATAACCCTTCCCAGGATTCTTGGGATGGATCAGAGTGTGTTAAAAAACCTCTTTAGATTGGCTGTCAAGTACAGTGGTCCCTCAATAATCGTCCATAATCCGTTCCTGGGAGTGGGACTATTATCGAAATGGACGATTTTCGAATAAATTTTCCCCATAAGAAATAATGTAAATCCAATTAATTCGTTCCAGACACCCAGAAGTATCAACAACAATTTTTTTTTTTACCTAAAAGATAGATTTACATGCACAAAAGAATGAACATTCAACATGACAGTTACCTTTATTGAAGGCTGTTGTTGATGAAAGGAAGACAGGGAGGAGGAGAGAGGGAAGAGAGGTTATTTGGAAGGGGAATCCCCCTCCATAAGGACTCTAGGGCACTAATAAAATGTATAAATGAACATTGGTAATAGGGGTAGTTGATGAGTGGAACTGTCTGCCCAGTAGGGTGATTGAAGCTAAAACATTGGGTAGTTTCAAATTTAGCTTGGATAAAAACACGAGTGAGAGGGGTTGGATTTGAGTCGGACTTGCATCTGAGCTTATTGCTTGGGTAGCATCTGTTCTGTTAGTGGGTTGGATTTGTGAAGGACCGGCCTAGTATGGGCCAACAGGCTTATTGCAGTGTTCCTCCTTTCCAATGTTCTAAAAGCTATGGCTTGGGTAGTTTCAAATTTAGGTTGGATAAATACACGAGTGAAAGGGGTTGGATCTGAGTCGGACTTGCACCTGAGTTTATTGCTTGGGTAGCATTTGTTCTGTTAGTGGGTTGGATTTGTGAAGGACCGGCCTAGTAAGGGCCAGCAGGCCTGTTCCAGTGTTCCTACTTTCTTAAGTTCTTATTTAACATCACACTTACCAGTAGGGTGATCAAGGCTAGGACCTTGGGTAGCTTCAAGAAGAGATTGGACAAATATACGAGTTGGAGGAGCTGAGTTTGATTTGTGTCATTGGGTACGGGAGTAAATTCTTGGGTAGCTTTGGGTAGAGGTCATTTTGATAAGGACCTGCCTTGTATGGGCCAGTGGACCTGCAGTGTTCTTCCATTGTTATGTTCTTATAGGCTATTTGTGTGAGGGAGGGATGGCAAGTTTATTGTTGGAGAATATGACACTAATATCAACTCTATGGCTTATTTATCTATCACAATTCAACTAATATGACATAATAAACAATATTAATAACATAGAAACATGGAATATACTGTAGAATGAATAAAATAAGTCATTACGTATGTCACGAGAGGTGTTGTGTTGTTTTTGGGTATATAAGGGCCACTGAGTGTAAGCCGTTCATAATGGTGGTGAGGCGGCGGTGGTTTTTGTAGCCCTATATAACTCCAACAACATTGGAGGAGTTGGTAGAATCACTGAATCACTAAAGAAGGAACCCTCTACCACCATCACTACAACCTTCTACCACTATTACAACTGTTACCACCATCACTACTACGTACTACCACCATCACTACTACCTTCTACCACCATCACTACTACCTTCTACCACCAAAGAAAGCTTCTAGTGCCAGCCCTTTGGTAAAGAATGTGAGAAACACATAATTTATGAAAAAGTTTGTAGAAAAATACAAAGATGGTGGTGGTGGTAGAGTGGAAGCAGTTGTGATAGTGGTTGATGAACATAAGAACATAAGAAAGGAGGATCACTGCAGCAGGCCTGTTGGCCCATGCTCGGCAGGTCCTTTACAATTCATCCCACTAACGAAACATTTTCCCAACCCAGTCCTCAATGCTACCCAAGAAATAAGCTCTGATAACTCTATCCACTCATTTGGGACTTGCAAATGAGTGGATAGAGTTATCAGAGCTTATTTCTTGGGTAGTATTGAGGACTGGGTTGGGAAAATGTTTCGTTAGTGGGATGAATTGTAAAGGACCTGCCGAGCATGGGCCAACAGGCCTGCTGCAGTGATCCTCCTTTCTTAGGTTCATCAACAACTGCTTCCACTCTACCACCACCATCTTTGTATTTTTCTACAAACTTTTTCATAAATTATGCATTTCTCACATTCTTTACCAAAGGGCTGGCACTAGAAGCTTTATTTGGAGCCATGGTAGCTTATTTAGCACTTGCAAGCACTAAAATCAATGGAATATTATGAAATATTTCGTAGGAGCATGTGAGGAGACCGTCACTCACTGGTAAACAATGGCACACTGGCTGGGAAGGAAAGGCTGAGGCGGCTCAGAGCATTGAGTACGCGTCCAGGACGAAGGACTATTAGCGAGTTACCGGACCATTTGCGAGCCAATATTTTGACGAAAAAACAGGACTATTTCCGAAATGGACGACTTTCAGGCCGGACGATTATTGAGGGACCACTGTATTTGACAGTGGTGTATCCTTCTTAGAAGAAGGCTGAGTATATTATTGGTGTGTGTAGTGCACTTTGTCATTTATGTAATGTAAAATATTTAACCCTTTGACTGTCGCAAGCCCCTTTCTGAAACTCATTCTATGTCACAAAATTTTTGGAAAAAAAACAAAAATTTCTTATGAAATGATAGAGAATCTTTTCCCGATGGTAATCACACCAATAGTACGAAATTTGGTCAAAAACTCGCGGAATTACGATCCCGCGATGTTAGCGGTCTTGGCGACATAAACGCATTTGCGATTTCGCCGAATTTGAGCCCTGTTTTTGGCCAATTCCGTTGTTCCAGTTGACCAAACTCATAGCTATTTCTAGAACTCCATTTTTCCTATCAGATGTGTACAAGAAACTGCCCATTTACCGATTTAAACTACCCAATAAAGTGGTCAGAAATTGGCAATTTGGCCAATTTCATGCAAATTAAAAAAAGAGGCCAATAATAATAATAAGTTTATTTCTTTGTAAAGGTTACAATGTGTAATTACAATTTTGATTTGCTAAGTACAAAGATAGCCACTATCATGCCGAGGCATTTCGGACAAACTAATGCTAATAAACCATACCACGGGCGGGGATAGAACCCGCGATCAGAGAGTCTCAAAACTCCAGACTGTCGCGTTAGCCACTTGTCTGGTGGCTAATGCGACGGTCTGGAGTCTTGAGACTCTCTGATTGCGGGTTCTATCCCTGCCCGTGGTATGGTTTGTTTGCAATCGTGTCATTACGATTTCATGAATCATAATCCTAATACATAGTAACTAATTAAAACTAGATAAGATAATATTACATAGTAATTATTACTTAAAACTAAACAGAATAGTGGTTAGCTGTTTTACAATCTTATTTGGACTTAATCTTATGTATGCTTAATCTTATGTATACTTAGTACAAAATCTAATTTACAAGGAATGATGCAGGTGGTAATATTTTATGGAATGGCAGAATTAAAAGTCAGGAGGTCACATGATAAACTAGCCAGTAGATGTTGATTTGGTTAATATTGTGCGATAAGATGATTTTTTTTAGCAGAGTCCTAAATTTATAAGTTGTCTGGGGATCCTTGACTTGTTCCGGAAGCGAGTTCAAGATCTTTGGGCCTTTTATGTGCATAGAGTTCTTGCATAGTGAGAGTTTTACTTGAGGGATGTTGAAAAGGGCCTTATGCCTTGTATTGTGACTGTGCATTCTGTTGTAACTGTCAAGTAGTTGTTTTAGGGGGGGGTTTACTGTGGAGTTTAAAGTTTTGTATATGTAGTAGGCACAATAATAAGAGTGTATGTCTTGTATATTTAGCAAGTTGAGTCTTGAAAAGTGGTGGGGTGTGCTGTCTAGCACAGGAGCTGGTTATCACCTGCACAGCAGCTTTTTGTTGGATTATTAAGGGTCTAAGGTGGTTGAGCCCCAGGCACAGATACCATAGGTGAGGTAAGGATATATTAGAGAGTGGTACAAGGTAAGGAGAGTCGTTTGTGGTACATAATAGCATATCTTGGAAAGGATTCCTACTGATTTGGAAATTTTCTTGGCTATGTGATGGGTATGGGACTGAAATTTAAGATTACAGTCAAGGAGAAGACCTAGAAATTTGCCTTCTGTGCGCCTTGGTGTAGGGGAACCATTTAACAGTATGTTGAGTTGAATATTTGAGGCTCTGTTGCCAAACAGCATGAAATATGTTAAGTGTGAGTTTGTTGGTCATCATCTAAGCATATATCTTTAGCAGTTCATTATTTACAGTGTTTTCAAGCACAGCTGGGTCTGAATGGGAGTAGACATATGTAGTGTCATCTGCGAATAGAAATGGTGTAAGGAGTTGGGATGCATTGGGGAGATCATTGATGTAGATGAGAAAGAGGAGTAGGCCTAGGACACTACCTTGGGGTACTCCTATAGCTACAGGTTGGATAGCGGAGTTGACTCCATTTGCATTACATACTGGTGTCTGTCGTTAAGATAGGATTTTAGGTAGTCAAGAGAATGTCCTCTTATGTCATAATGATTCAGTTTGAGGTGCAAGAGATTGTGGTCAACTGTGTCAAACGCTT